AGTGTGTATCCTATGCTAAATACCTCCTCCGTAATCCTCAAGGGCAGGTGTAGCAACGGAAAAATTTTTGCTGCCATGGAAGGAAGTGGGGTGAGGTAGGCGACAGGCACTGAGACCAACCAATAGAAATAGTAATAACTTTGGAACCCAGGTTGCGGCGTAAACAGCAGTTAGTCAGCACAATAAAACATCTCAGGAATAGTGATTTTGCAATGTCCCATAACTAAAAAAGGCGGTACAGTAAGCGTAAAACGGGACAAATCAGCAATCGGTGATCGAAGGCGACCAAGTGATGGGTTTTGCCAGTGTCTGTTCCCTTCCCTCATTTTCCTCGGAATTCGTCCATCGTGAAGGGAGGGAGATAACAGACAATCAACAGTTGTATATAGTCAGTCGAGACATCGCCAACCGTAAAGGATCCGGTGCTTTGAGAACGGCAAAAATTGACCGTGCAAACAAGTTTCCAGTGGACCAGGTACTATCTCCTATTTCGCTAGCAACATACAACCCAGTATTCTGCTGAAAATCCACAGCGGATGTTCTGGTTCCACCTCTTTGTCCACTCTTGCTCACCTGTGAGTCCCAAAAGGCATGGACTACTACCGTTTGAGGAAATCCGGAACCCTATGCTCAACTAATGTTTGCACATTTTATTTATTTATTTATTTATTCAATAAGTTAAGGTACCGAAAAAGCGAAGCTCAGAGAAGAAGAACTGAACGAGGCACTAAATCGTGCGAAAGAACAAGCAGAAAGTGGAGTTGTCGATGAAGAGACTGTGAGAACTTTAGGTAAGTTCTTGATACTGATACGAGTAGTATCTATATTTGTTGTTTTTTCCACTTACAGAAGGATTCTTATCCCTCGAAGGATGTGGCTGGTCGGCGAAGCGAATACAGGAAGCACTGGAATTGTTACGAAAAGCTAGTTTGGGTATTTCCAGCAAAGATGCCCAGCCGTCGAAGTTCTCATTCTCAGTGAGCTTTCTTCTGTTATCAAGTCTTATCAGTTTTTTTAAGATTTTGGAAAGGATTTCTATTACGTTTCCGATTTTTTTTTCTCGAGAATTTCTGCTTGAAACGACCGTGACTCTATCCGGGGGTCGTATCTGGGTCCAGCGACGAATGTTGGCGTGCCGAATAACTGCAGAGGAGGAAAAATCATAAAAAAACCGTCGGAAAAGCTTTTAATGAGACACCTGACGGTCCTAAATGTTGGATTCTCTTTCTTTTTTTCTCATTTTTTTCTTTTTCTCCTAAAATACAAGTTATTACTTTATTGTCTGTATACTATTAGTTACTGGCTCTAGCAATTCCACTAACGATAAGGACAAAGCAAATGAATAATAATCCTCCCTAGGTTTCCAAAAAGAAGCCTACTCCAGCATCGTCGGAAAAGCCTTCCCCAATCCCTGTATCATCAGAAACAACATTCCTGCCTCCGGGTGAAGTTCCTGGAAATGCCATTCACTTATCGAATTTGGTAGGTTCAAGTGAACCCTTTTTGGGGATGTTTCCTAATGTGATGAAGAATTCAGAACGGTGAGACTAGAGTTATTACGGGTCAAGATGGTTTTGATGTGAAGCTTAAAGACATCAAAAATTGTCAACTTTCTTTCGTCTTTCGTCCATCAACTGTGCATATCCAGGTAGACTCGAGATCCAAACAACCTTAATTTTCTTTTTTTCCTCAATGATAAACTGAACTCTCACCTCTGAAAACGGTCCTTGTCATGTGCGAGGTAAATGTATCCGTAGCTGCAGTAGCGTGTCACTTCCTTCGCCCAAACGCGCATGGGAGCGAAGGTAGGGGGGGGGGGAGAGGAAATGATCCCAGGTAACCCCTCCGGACTCCACCGGCATCAACTTTAAGGTGCAGGTTATGCGACGCTACCAAAACCCGGCATCAAAAGGGGCAGCAAGAGGTGGGGAACAAATGGTAGTGAGGGCCCAGACAAATAGCGCGTTTGGCTACGGTTAGGCGTTAGCAGGCCGTACGACAATCCGAATCAAAAGAGACGAATCAGGAGACGGCAGCGGGGTATCAGTACACTCAACTCCTTCCCATGCTTTTTTTGACCCGAAGAAGGTGCGCTGCTGCTGCTTTGAATCCGTTCACCGCGCCAGGACTAGAATCCTCGAAGGTGGATATACAGCTTTTCTTCAAGTGTATTGCAGTTAACTATGGGATTTCAGGGAGTGGATAATTGTAAGCTGGTGTTTCTTCCCGTAGAAACTTCCATCCTTGTCTATGATTGCACAAAGTAAGTGGTGATTGTGATATTTCTATTTTTTTTCAAATGTTGTTCTTCTCAAACTCTGCACAGCGCGTGCAATCTCTACTCTTGGAGGACGACAGCCTTCAGCCGGCTAGACGTTGAAGTGTTTCAGAGAGGCAGGGTTTGGCTGACTCCACTCTGTTTCCCACCGGTTTTAGAAGCTGGCAGGGGACTACAATTGGTGAAATGAGTGGCGCTGTGCAAAACCACGCCTTTCTGAAACGCCCCAGCGTTCATCTTACTACGCCTAAGGCAACTTTTGGATGCGATATGACCTACACAATAACTTGTGAGAGCCACCCGATGTACACAGGGCAGTTATTTAAGACACACGGTTGTTTCGGCTCCATAGGATACCGTAAGGCCGCGATCTTGCTTTGCAACACTGGGCATTGAGAGATCAGGAGAACGCTAAAAGAGTTTGTGGGGATCGACCTAATCTCCCATTTTTTTCAGATTCGCCTAAATCGAAACTGATTTTTTTCCTTTCACGGGCAACCTTTCTTATCATCTCAATGTTCCACTCACTCCGTGTCTAATGGTCTCCTAACGTAGCTCTCCCAACTCACTGGCAACCGGAGTCGATCGATCCCCTATCCCTCCTTTGGTCTCCTAATCTTCTATATCCCAGCGCTGGGAAGAGTGAACGCG